CTCATGGTCCACCCCCTCTCTTGATGCCCCTTGATCACGTGTGCCCCCTGCCCAAGGTCTGCTCACGCGGCCTATCATAGCGGGGTGACTGTAACACAGGTACTGCCACCGTACCGCAGGGAGGACCTGTCCCGCTTGGAGCACCGCGCGGCGGCGCTGGACGCGGCGGCGCCCTGCGCGCGCTGCGCTCGCCCGCTGTCGGCGCCCGCCCCCGCCTCGGCGGGGCCCTCGGGCGGCGCCCTGCCCCGCCTCTACCTCTTCCCCACCGGCAACGCCTTCCACGCCTCCTGCCTGTGCGCCGAGGCTGCTGAGCTGGCGCCCGCGGTGCAGCGCCGCCGCGTGGCGCGCCTGGTCGAGCGGCTGGCGGGCCTGCCGGAGGGCGCCGCCGCCGCGCCCGCCACCCCAGACTCCCCCGCCGCCAACGTGGAGGCGCTGAGGCAGCGGCTGGAGGAGGAGGTGGCTGTGGAGGACCCGTATGAGGGGGAGGTGGTGGCGCGGCACCTCACCCGCCCCTTTGTGGCGCCAGAGGAGGCCGCCGCAGACAGCTGGGCGCTCTAGATCTAGGCGGCGGCGGCGGCGGCGGCAACGAGGGCTTGGCTGCATGCGCCCTTGTCCATGCCATTGCACGCTTGTTTATGTCTGATGGCGATTCATGGATGAGAACGATCCCAGTGGCCAGTGTTGCTCAGCACCCCGCAGGTAAGCAGAGCTGCAGCTGATAGCACTATCAGCTGGTTACCGGAAATTCTGCCGCTGCTCGGAAGCAGAATTCTCCCGAGCCCTTCCAGCGCTGGGGTTAGATCAAACCACATGACCCCCGAATGTACTAGCATGCCAATGCCGAAGCACGCGTCGACGCAGCCCCTGGGCAGTACGGGAGGTGTCCCCAATTCTGAACAGAGTTTTCATTCACATGGGCGTACACTCCAATAATTCCTTCTGCCATCAAGCTCCCAATGCGGCGCCGCTGGAGCCGGCTCCAGCTTTGCGCCACTTGGCTTAGCCTGTAGGCGTCAACACGTGACCACCAGTGCACCTGGTAGGCCTGCACGCCCACAGAACGAGTGTCTGCCTGCACCCACGCACATGATGTGGGCATGCGGTGGAATATGCCAGTGCACGCGGCTGGCGGGTTGCCCCAGAGGCGGCGGCATGACCCCCTCCGGCGCTCGCGCCTGCACTGGCCGGCACCGCTGGCCATTGCCGAATGGGATCCCCCCTCCCCCTTGCATGCAGCCACCCAATTTAGACACCTCACACTGTTGTGGAAGCTTCTTGGAGGCACGCCGCTTGCACGCTGGCTGGCTGATGGTGGCGCCACCTGGGGAGCCCGGGCGTGTGCACGCTCTTCTAAAGCCGCCGGGCCCTCCCTCTCGAGCATGTGAGCCAGCTGTTCTGTACTCAAGCCACATTGGTGTGTGGTTCCCCGTGTTTGTGTGTCCATTGGTGCATGTGTGAAGTACGGTAAGACCGGTGGCTGGGCCCTGAGGTGTGCCATATGGATGCATCCGGAAGGATCCTGGTGCTAGCAGACACCGGCCCCTGCAACGCGTGCGACGGGTGCCGCGTCGACCTGCCCTGGTGCCCCCTCTGCAGCGCTGCTCGTGCTCAGCCTGTCTTTCCTAGCACTCCTGGCGGTGCGCTGGTGGGTTGGAGGCGGCGCCGGACCTGGCGGCGCAGCGCCGGCAGTGCTCTCATTCATTCATTCATTCATTCATTCATTCATTCATTCAGCACACAGACCGGCCGCCTCTTGCTCGAGGGCGGCCCACTTTGGCCTGGGCAGCCCGGGCCGCCCTCCCCCCGGGCGCATGTTCAGTGTTGGAGGGGTGTGCCCAGCGATAGGGGGCCCCTGAAGGCATGCGCCGAGGCCGGGAAGCGTGGTTCGGCGCTGCTGCACGCTTGGCGACTTGAACAGAACCGCGTGCCGCCGAGCTGCGGCTGCAGTTTCCGGCCCACAGTCTACGGCCGCAGCCACGGGACTCGGCGGCACGGCGTTTGGGCCCAAGCTTGCTGCTGCCGCCGCCGTGCCTGGGGGGCAGCGCGGCGGCGGCGGCGGCACGCTGCGACGCCCCCGTGCCGCCGAGCTGCGGCCGTACCTTCCTGCCAGAAGCCCACGGCCACAGCCACGGGACTCGGCGGCACGGCGTTTCGGTCCACGGCTTGCTGCCGCTGCCGTCGCAGGGCTGCTGCCTGCGGCGGCGGCGGCACGGCGGTTGGGTCCACGGCTTGCTGCCGCTGCCGCTGCCGCCGCCGCAGGGGTGCTGCCTGCGGCGGCGGCGG